GGTACACCCCAAACCCACACATAATCATTTCCTCATTGGCTTGTCTTCTTGCTTTCTCAAATCAAAAGGCCGAGACTCAACCATTTAGTGACAAAAATTAATTAATATATGTTAGCCAAAGCCAAAGCAAACACTCCTTGGTGGTAGTGTAGTAGTAGAAAAAGAGCATTAGAGGCATATATGGAAGGTAGCACTTTTTTTCCTTTTTTTTGAATTGAGGAAACTTGGAGAGTGAGAGAGTAAATGTTTGAATTTGAATCCAGGATTTTGATATCCCCTCATAGAGAATAGTAACTAAGCCAATCAATAATAGATAAGATAAAACTTAATTAGAACTAACAAGATATTTTCACCTTATAATCCATCTTCTTTTAATTTTCAATTCACGAATATTCCCTCCTATCCTCTTTTAAAAAGCAATAGAGCAATAAAAATTGACTTTTATTTTAATATCATTATCATATAGATAATTTTAATTTGCTAATTGATTAAAACAAAATCAACATTTATATTTTTCATATGAATTAATTAAAAATACAATAAATACACTCTTAAAAAAACTAAATTTTAAAATAAATGATTGAAAATTGATATAACACTTACATTAGTATTAGTCATGGGAATAACAAGGCTATTTTTTTTTTATAAAAAAATTGATATAAACGTCCGAAAGTACTTGATATTCACGCCTACTGGATAGAAAGAAAGTTGCCTTATTCCTTCTTAATTGTTTAGTTAGAAAAAGTCAAGTTCTTCAAACTACGGAGTATTAGTTTACATAAATAATTTTTTATTTCTATTACACTTATATATTGGTGAGCTATTGCCCGTTTTATTTTTTTCGAAGAAAAGAGAATAAGACTGGAACCTCAATTTTAAGAGTAGAAACAAAATGGGTTTCTCCTGTGCATCGTTTTTAGAGTTAGGAGCAGTGACGTCGAGTTTTCCTCCTAAGGGAATCTCTCTAACTTAAGAGTTCCTTTATCTTTCTTTTTTTCTTATCCCTTCCTCCTCTTCATCTCCTCCTTCCTCTTGTCATTGTCTTGCTTTGAAAACTCCAACCCAATGAAAACTCCAACCCAAGTGACTACAAGGCAACGGTTTTTCGGGTTTTCTAAAGTTTACATCTGTTGATTTTTGAAGGCTGTGATTAGAATTGATTTTGTCGGTAAAGTGGGTTTCTCCTATTTAACAGGCAAGAATCTCACTTTGGTGCATTTTCTTGGATGGGATCTTGGCGGGGGTAGAATTCGATGAATCTGATTCACACCAGTTCCCAATCAACTAGTCGATTGCCAAAGGAAAGGAATGTTGTTGGTAAGGTCCGCTATGGTCTGCATGGGAAGCTTGATTTTCAAGCTGGCAAAAGGGCTCTCGTTCCCCTAATGAGTTTTGACAGCATGAGTTTGAAGAGAATCGACAAAAATGGGAACATGACTGGGAATATATGGAGGCGACTAGGGGGCTTTGTGCTTGTTAGAAAAAGGCCTATGCCCCTTTTGGTTGTTTTTCTTTAAGAACAAGTAGGGCGACAACTTATGGGTTGGGGACTGTTTGTTGTAGGAATCTCTTGCTCTTCATAAGAAACTGGTTAAATAGGTGAGGAAGTCCAGTAGTTCTTAGTGCTTATAGTGACTTCCCTTTCTACATTATTAGCCCTATTTAACCCATACAACAATTGTAAATTCAATCCCTAGTTGCATGGCTCTCTTTACTTAATTGTCTATATTCGTCATGGGAATAGTTTAAATCTATTATTAGTGCGTAGGTTATGCTTCTGATTTTGTTCTTGGGTAATTTTGATTTTGTTATATGTTATGAGATGAAGATTCTGTTATAATTTCTTATTACTTAATATATTTCTCTATTTTCCATCGAAAAAAAAAAAGAGTAGAAACAATATGTATTTTTTTTTATATTAACCTCTGCATAGCTAATAATCACATTAAATATTAAGTAATCAAAAATCGAATTGCATCGGATTCCAAAAGGGAGCATCAATTTTAAGAATTGAAACAAAATGCACTTATTAAACTAAATGATAAAGTGCCAATAGAATATTGAACTTTTTGTATGGAAAAATATACTCGATCGAATCGAGCTTCAAACATAGTTCTAACGACTTATTGGTACATTGAGCAAAGCCTGAATTCTGGAAATTCAAAATTTCAAACCAAATTCGAGTTTTCAATTAGGGCAACGCATGTTCCTTTTCAACAATACTGTAGCTTAGGGTTTTGCCTCAATGATTGTTTGATGAGGCATGCATGCATGAGGCTTTCCCCCCGCCGCCCGGCCTGGCCCTCCAGTAATTCATTAATAAAATCACCCTCAACACTTAGTTACGTCTTTGTGTGTGTATATATATATATATCAAATCTTATGTTTCATTGAATCTGTTCATCTCACACACACATATATATATATATATATCATGGAGTACTGGTAGATTCATGCATGTTGGAGTGTGTATGTAAATTAAGTCACAATCATATGACAAAAACATCGATCCTTCATTTATCAAGAAATTAATTAAAATTAAAGCATGTTGTTAGTTAATAACTTAATATTAGTCGTCCAACCATAAAGAGAAATAGAGGGGAAAGGCAATTAAGTTCTGAAAAGGAGACTAAATTTAGGAGATCGAGGAGCAGCAGTACTCTTATATATGTGTATATATATATACACACGTGATTAACATACTTGTAAAGTTGCTATAAATTAAAAAGCACAGTTCAATTATATGAAATAAAGCAGATCAGATGACAGGTGTCATACATACTCATACAACTATATATATAT